GCCTGGTCACCCCACACAGCCTGCTGTTCGGTTGTTACTGTTACTGTGATGGTGTCCTGGACAATTTGCATATTCCTCTATTATTAGTATAGATTATAACTTGTCTAATTATAAATGTTATCAGAATATAATTTTCAAATTTTCAAAAACATTGCAAACAAATATTGAATGGACGTTAAGTCAAAGTAATGGTCAACGCATTAATTAATGAGAGAACCACTTAAACGATAAAATGGGTTCAAATCTTTATGAGTAATAACTACAAGTAACTTTAAAAAAATAAATGTTGCCGAACCGGTTTGGCTCAGTGGATAGAGCGTCGGCCTGTGGGCTGAGGAGTCCTGGGTTCGATTCCAGTCAAGGGCATGTACCTTGGTTGCGGGCACATCCCCAGTAGGGGGCGTGCAGGAGGAAGCTGATCAATCTCTCCCATCAATGTTTCTAACTCTCTATCCCTCTCCCTTCTTCTCTGTAAAAAATCAATAAAATATATTTAAAAAAATAAAAAAATAAATGTTAGGATAAGGTTGCTATGTTAGATACAGAAGTGGTTAACATCCTACAGGGCAACAAAATCATAACTTTTGGTGGTCTTTTTACTGGACAGGAGTCTTCAAGTTAATATATAACTTCATAATATTTGGCTAGGAGGAAGCTGATCAATCTCTCTCATCAATGTTTCTAACTCTCTATCCCTCTCCCTTCTTCTCTGTAAAAAATCAATAAAATATATTTTAAAAAAATAAAAAAATAAATGTTAGGATGAGGTTGCTATGTTAGATACAGAAGTGGTTAACATCCTACAGGGCAACAAAATCATAACTTTTGGTGGTCTTTTTACTGGACAGGAGTCTTCAAGTTAATATATAACTTCATAATATTTGGCTCAAATCCAATATTAAATAGCAAAATCAAACTCAAGTAAATTCTCCTAGAAACTTAATAATCCTTGCATGGAATTGTTAATTAATGCTCCATTATGACATGGAAAGAACAAGCTGTACTCATTTCTGACTTCCAAGTCTCAAATAATTTTTAACAATATAATTGACTTACATATACTTGACTGACTCGAATGACTCAAAAGGAGTAGTTTATTAAGTATTTTAATGCCTCCTCCACATCTGTGCACGAAGAGGCTGTACAATATGGCAGAACACTTAGTTAAGTAACTCAGTGTATGCCTTCCATTCAGTCGTGACCTTTCTGCTTGGATTTTTCCCTACTGTAAACGAGGAACTTCTGTGCACGAAGAGGCTGTACAATATGGCAGAACACAGTTAAGTAACTCAGTGTATGCCTTCCATTCAGCCATGACCTTTCTGCTTGGATTTTTCCCTACTGTAAATGAGGAACTGGAATAAGTTGATCACTAAAAAACTCTTGCAGTTTTAAAATGTTGTTATTCTTTAAAAATGGGGTTATAGAGGGCAAAATATCTTGGTCCTTTAACTGGTGTGTGGAGTTGGGCAATGGGGTCTACAAATGGTCTTTGATGAATTCTGGGCAGGACAGCCTTCTAATTATCCCAGAATGTCTGGGGAACTTCTCCTCTCCAGAGTTTTGGGAATACCTCCTTTAGGACCCTTGGTTTAGTTGGTCTACATATGTTAGCTAGTGCTACAACAATGCTGCATAACAAACAACTACAAAACTTAATTAGCATACAACAATTTATTTTTGCTTTTAATACTGTGAGTGAATTAGAAAGTTCTGTTGATCTGGATTAGGATTGGCTGGGCAGTCCATTGTCTCTTAGCTGGAGAAAACTCACATGTCTAGTGATCAGTTAGCTATTGGCTTCTAGGATAAACCTCTCTAGGATGACTGATTCTGCTCTAAAAGATTTCCCCATCAGGCTAGCCCACCTCTGTTCTTGTGATGGTGGCAGTGTTCTGAGAGTAGAGGCAAGCCAGGGCTCTTAAGGCTAAGGCTTGGAAGTGCACACTATCACTTCCACCACACTGTTGGCCAGAGAGAGTCATAAGGAAGCCTGTAGGAAAATAGGCTCCAGATCCTGAAGGTGAGGCATGGGATATGAAGAGGGAGGATGAATTATTCAAGCAACCATTAGAACATAATTCACAGTTGGGATTTCAGGAAGTTCCAGAAGGATATCGATCTAGAGGAAAAGATGAGATTCGATAAATGTGCTTGTGATTTCTTGTGGGGTGCACTTAGGTTACTTAGAATTAGTTTCATCTTTTTAGGTCTTACTTTTAAGATTCATTATGCAAGGCTAGATCAGTGTATGGAGTTGGTTATTCATATTACTGAGGCAAATGCCTTCTGAGACTCGGCCAAATTTTATTTGAATGTTGAGATATCCCAGTCTGGCTGGTGGGAACAGGCATATCCCCTGGTTTAGTGTATGCCAGGTACTGCTTCTAATCCTTTCAGGTGGTTCTTCTTGCAGCCTTTGGTAGTTAATTCTCCCCACCCCCTTAATCTGATCTGTGCTTAGCAAAATACTCAATGGGACTCTTCAGACATTTGGAGTTCTCTCCTTTTTTCAGCATACACTTCTCTGTTACTTTTTCCTGTGAACGCTAACCACCTTGATTTCCCTAGATTCTCAGCTTCCATCTCCTCAATTCAGGGAGTCTGCCAGCTTTTGCCCAGATTCTTCCTTAATGCACCAAAGCATAGGACTCTCTCAAGGTTGTTTCTTTCCTTTTTTTTTCCCCCAGTGATTATGGTTCTTTGTTGTCTAGTGCCCAGTCTCTTAAAAAACAATTTTTATTTCACATATTTCCTTTATTTTAAGTTTAAATCCTTTTTTTCTTTTTTAAATCCTTACCCAAGGATATGTTCATTGATTTGAGAGAGAGAGGAAGGGGGAGAGAGAGAGAAATACATTGATGGGAGAGATAAACATTGACCAGTTGCCTCCTATACTTGTCCCATCTGGAGATCAAACCTGCCTCCTAGGTATGTGCCTGGCCTGGAATCCAATCACAGCCTTTTTGGGTAGGGAGTGACTCTCCAACCAACTGAGCAACCCGGGTGGGGCTTTGTCCAGTCACTTCATGCAGGAGAATAAATTCTGTCTCTGTGGCTTCATTTTGGCCAGAATTGGAAGTATCCAATTCTTAGAGTTTATTTTTAGGAAGAAGATGGGTTTCTAAAGATTATGAATGACCTAACTTTTGGTGGAAAAGGCAATAAGAAAATATCAGATTATACGGTATTTGAAACTACATATTTCTCTCTTGCTCGTCCAGTTGGTCCTTTTATTACTCTCTTCCTTCTCTTCTTAGTATATTTGTTATATATTTTATTGTTTCATGTGCATGGGTATTCATTTTACCTTACCAATAATAGTGTAAGCTTTTTAAATGGTGTGGATATACCTTACACTTCTTTATATTCTTCACCATGTGTATTACATTTTAGAATTAAAGGTAATCAATGAATGGTTATCCTTTTCTGTAAAAAAAGGGACTCAAAATCTGAGGGTTAATTAAGTGATGTGTACAGTGTGCTTTGTAGAGTAAATGTTCTGGGTAAATTATGGTAATTCACCTTTTAGGTTGATGTCAATTTTGGTTTAAATTGTCTCCACTGAAATTAGATGCCATATGTTAGACAATTTCTCAAGAGTTCAACTGCAACCTACTTAGAAGAATCCTCCAGGCTGACAGGAAGAACCCTCTCCAAGCCTCTCAGATCCTGTTATGGCTCTCACCTTGTGAGGCTTATTTTCTTTCTCAGAAAACTTGAAGTCATAATTCACAAATATATGAAATATGGGTTGAACACATTTAACCTGCTTGATGAGTGTGGTATTGAAAAAAGATTATATTTGTAGACCAAGCATTTTTCTGTAAAGTGGATTCTTAATTAATTGTATGTAATATCTGTGAAATTTCTTGTAGGCTGGCTTCTGAATCATACACTTGTGAGCTGTTCTTCCTCTGTCTCTCTTCTACTTCTCCATCTTCTCACCCATCATTTATTTCATGAAATGGTAGGGGAAGAGTATATAGAAAGCAATTACTATTTACCCTTAATATAACTTAGAATAAGTGTAATTAAGAAACAAACATCTTTGCAAAACAATCAAACTATAGCTAAGGACAGACATTTGAATAATTTGAGCAATTGCTTTCCTTCACTAGTGTGGACAATCTATAGTTGGCTATACAGTTATTTATCATGTCTGTCAAAATACAAGGAGCATTAATTTTAATATTTTTCATGCATCTTCATTCAAGTGTAGTTTTGTTTTACACAGAATATAATTTGATGGAAAATACTGAATTTCATGTTGATTGAAACATTTTTATACATAAATAATTTGAACAGAGATATTTATGCAATGGTGATCCTGTTTATATGTCTAATACAACATTTCATTTAAAATCTGTTTTCTTTTGTTTTTGCATTATTGATTGTGGTAAAAATCTAAAATGCATTAGGATTTCTGGATTTATAATGTTGTGTATGATTGCTTATAGAAGACTACTAGTATGAAAATAAATTCCAGGTACTTAGAAATGAAAGCTTTTGGATTTTTTTTAAAGAATGGCATGCACATGTGGATGGTTATTATTATTGTTATTCTATGCACAAGAATAAGTAAAGTTCTTCCTGTTTATAAAGCAAACTATACAAAACTCACTGAAATGTACACAACATATCACAGAATATTATTTACAATAAAACTGAACAAATAAGTTGTGCTGCCATCATCCTGAATCCTTAAAGTCAAGTATAACTCTAGTTTATGCTCGTAAAAGCCTAATCTTCTTTTTATAGATTTAAATCCTAATTATTTATAGGAATGGATAACAATTTCAAAAAAGAAAATTTTTGATTCAGTTTCAGATATGTACACATTCTTTTTGGTAAGCCTTTATATCAAGCTGATTATAGCATATTAATAAAGGTCTATTTTATGGAAACAACTAGTTCTAATGATTTGATCCATTTAAATTTTGTATAAATCTATATAAAATGACATACCAATGTAATTTTGATTATATCTTTCCAGAACACAAATGCCAATCTGAACATGAGGAAAAGAACAAATGTTTTGGTTCAGTCTGAATCTGACGCTGGCATCAGAACCGAGGTAGGAAACCATTCGAGCAGATCTTCCATGATTGTTCAAGCAGCTTCTGAGGCCACATCGCAGACTTACTTAGCTTCCAGTCCAAACCCATTCAGCCATGCAAATGCCGCTGAAACTATATCTGCTGCAAGAGCACTACCATCTGCTTCTTCTACTCCTAGCAGAACTGGGTATGTGCCCCAGCAAGCTTCAGCAGGACCTGCTTTTACCCACCATGTGTTTGGATCAAGACTGGGGCGAATTAAGACAACAGTTAATACCATAGGGGCTTCTGGGAAGTTGTCAGCCACTCCTCCTCCTTCTGCCCCACCACCTCCTGGATCTGGCACAAGTAAAATAGACAAGTATGCCCGCATTCTCTTTCCAGTAACATTTGGGGCATTTAATATGGTCTATTGGGTTGTTTATTTATCCAAGGACACTATGGAGAAATCAGAAAGTCTACTGTAATTTTTTTTTTTGCTATAGAAGTTTCCTAAAATATGATGAACTTGAATGCAGAATGTCTTTTTAAATGTTTTTAAAGATAAACAATTGTTCTTTACTAAAATAAAAATCCTATGTAATTTTCCCATTTAAAAAAATTCAAGCCAGTTACTGGGAGAGTTCATTAATTCCTCAGTGAAAAGAAAGTGAGCCAATTTTCATTTCAGAAAAATGATTTAAATAGAATCAATTCAGCATTCAAATTAGACAGAATACAGACCATCTTGGAAAGTTGGGACGAGAGAACTAGGGCTCTTAGAAATATGTGGTGCATATTTATGCATTGAAATTTGAAAACGGACTATGACATTTTTTAATATACACTATGAATATCAACCAACCACCCTAAATTTCCCAGTGGCACTGCCCTTAATCAGAATTGTTTATCAGATATTATATGCCGTGACCTTTGGAGATCCTCTTACCTAGTTTCTGCAAGAAAAAGGACTTTTCCTGTTAAATTAAACATTTTAAAAAGGAAAATGGAACAAAACAAATACTGACCAATGGAGTGAAACCTCTGCTGCATCAAAAAGAAATACAGAGACCAGGGAAAATACACGCCCGGTCATATGTTGACCAAACAGGACTTAACAGTTAACTTGGAAATTTGTGCTTTGAGCCAAAGTTTAACTCATTGTATTAATTCTTTTGATAGTAGTTCATTCAGTTCTGTACTCCTTCAATGTGTGTTTATTCAGAGCCTACTGTGTCCCAGGCACTTTGCTAGACATTGTCTCTCTAGGAAAGCTCCTTCACCTTTGCCTACAATATTACTTAAATAGAATAGTCAACGCATGCTAATGAACCATAAACTAGCAGAAACCAGTGCATTCTTTAATGAAGAAACATGATCTAGAATCTGAAAACATATTCAAAATATTTGTCTCCTACATTGATAGAGATAACAGGTATATTGTTCACATAGCCACTTTGGAGATAAGTACACGTGAGTACTTCAGCAATTGACATCAAAATATCATGAAAATGTGGTACAGATTTTTCTGTACCTGAAAAGCACTGTGCACCTGAAAGTAGCAATCTGGGCACTGTAAGACCTTATGGGTTACCTGTCTGAAATTTGATCAGTATCACATAATAGAACTTGATCAGAATCACAGAATCATCAGAATTAGGAACTCGACACAAGGGCTTTTTAGATGTTTTTCCCAACATAGATTTGGTGAAATGTATTAGCTGGTGAAATGCTAAATTTCTGGGAGGTTTCTGTGTCTGTAGTTCTGTATTTCAGGACAATTTCATGTTCGTATGGAGGGGAAGCTCTGTATAGTTTCATAACTAAGATGAGATGTTTAGAATTAAAAGAGCAATAGCAAAGGAATGGGGTACTGAAAAAACCCTAGCCCAAGGGTAGGATGCCACTGACTCTGTTATGCAATTTATCAGGATATTCATGTACTGACTTTTCTTTTTCATTAGGTAGGCTTAACAAGTTAATTGAATTTCTGGCAGCTGTCTTATGCTGCTAAATCTAGGTCCAATTTTTTGTGTTGTATTGCTTCCAAATTTTTCTTTTATACTACTCTGTCTCCCTAACCTAGTTTTTGTGAATGAATGTGTTCTGCATGTTTGGGGGAACATTTGAAAAGAAATGGCCACTTTTAAAACAGGATCTCTTATTTTTTTTATAAAAGAAATGATATTAATTTGTATTAGTTTTTCAGTTATTGCATTGCCTTCAAGTGACTTTGTATGAGACCTGTAACATGTGCAAATGCCAAATATTAATTGTGAGTCATGTTGGAGAATTCCTTACTGGTTATCTCTTTAGATATTTAAAATAATCAACAGTTTGAAGGCTGAAATATGCTTTAGAAATCACCCAATCTAAACCTCTTATTTACAAATTGAGGCCAGTAATATGAGGCCCAGTAAAATTTGTATAAATGTATATACTTAATAAAGAGTTCTTGTACACAAAACTTATCAAACATTATTTCATGAATGCAAATAAATTTCTAGCCTTGAGGACAATGCTTGAAATTATAGGAAGCTATGATTGTTCATTTTTCTAATGAAATGACCTTATTTCTTTGGTGAGAAACTTACTCCTTGCTTATCTATTAGTCTATTCTTAAGAAGTATTTAATTGGCCTCCCTTTTAAAGAATAAATTCTTCTCCTATAAATTTTATAGATGATCAATGGATAAAAATAAATGATTTTAGATTTATAGACCAGAGATCCAAGTGAACTCATAGTATTTTTCTTACTTTTGCACATGAAGAACATTTTAAATAAAATGGCCATATAAAGAGAAAGGGCAAAATTAACCAAGAATTCTTAATTGTTAATTTGAATAATATATCGATCAGAAAGTCTAATTCTTAGTACAAAAAGGAATTATTTCATGTGCAAACAATGTTAATAATAATAATGCATAATTTGTTTTTCCCTAACTGAATTCCATCAAATTAATTCAAGGCTAATTATTTGTTGTTGTTAATCCCCACCTGAGGATATTTTTTCCATTCCTTTTTGAGAGAGAATGGAAGGGATAGAGGAAGAGGGAGAGAGAGAAAGAGAAATTTCGACGTGAGAGAGACACATGGACTGGTTGCCTCTGAAAGTGCCCTGATGGGGGCTGGGGATGGTGGTGGAGGGTGGGGAGTGAACTGGAAACCAAGGTAAGTGCTCTTGACCAGGAATCGAATAGGAGACACTTCATTGTGCAGGCCAACACTCTAACCACTGAGCACACTGGCCAGGGCAAGGCTAATTTGGGGGGGGGGGCAGGGGGGTCATCGTTTCTATCTTTCTAATAACTCAGAGCTACATTAAATGTAACACTTGGGAAGAACCAGTCACTTTTCACCATTAGAAAATCTCCTAAGTCATGAGACCCCAACGTCCTGGCAATTTGTGAAGAATAATAATTCTGGCTGAGAATAGTACCCTTGTATGTCTCTATTTTTTATATAAAATTCAGAATTGTTTTATTCAGTACCAATACTTATATTCTAGCTTTCAACACCAAATTGGACAATAAATGCTACATAATTACTTCCATTTTCCTCCAAGCATGATCAAGTATTGATTTACATGATCAATCCACAGTTAAAAATGACTTGCATTTGTTCAAATACAGAATATATGAATAATGTGTATTTAAAATTGGACCTCGCTGATCTTAAATTAGAGTAGGCAGAGAGTAGAAGCGCCTTCTTTTACAGAAGGAAATGAATCATAGAGAATTTAGTGACAAAGATTAAAAGCATAAGGCTGGAATGAACTTTAAAAGGTCATTTTTCAATCACCTCTCCTTAGCAGTGACTGTGTTTCAAGCAATACATAACACTTGTGGTTTATTTTATCAATGAATTGGTAATTCTGTCTGACCTAGGAAAAAGTCCCTACCCTCCACTCCCCTTTTCCCAGTGTCCCCACTTCTAGATTTGTGGATAACCTCTAGTGGAAAAGTACCAAGCAGAGAAACGGACGACTTGACTCCAAGTTCTGGCTCTGCCTACTCTATTGTGCTTTTAGATATGTCATTTAAACTCTCTAAGTTCATTTTCTATTTACAAAAAGAAGGTGAAATTAAAAAAGTAGCTAAGATTTCTTTCCATTTTAATATTCTCTGGTTCTCAGATAGACTAAATATAAGCATATTTTTGGAATAGATACACTCAATACTTTGTGCCATAAACATATATTTATGGGGGAGAAGGAATTGATTTTAGTTCATTGCTTAATTACTTTTAGCTCATGATTTGGGCCTTATCTTAATATTAACATTTCCTTATCTTTTTTTAAAAAACATATTTTATTGATTTTTTACAGAGAGGAAGGGAGGGGAGAGAGATAGAGAGTTTGAAACATCGATGAGAGAGAAACATCGATCAGCTGCCTCCTGCACACCTCCCACTGGGGATGTGCCCGCAACCAAGGTACATGCCCTTGACCGTATTCGAACCTGGGACCTTTCAGTCCGCAGGCCAACACTCTATCCACTGAGCCAAACCGGTCAGGATGTCATTTCCTTATCTTAAGAGAAATAAATCTCCCCATTTAGATTATATATTTTCTTCCCTGTGGAAGATTATATTCTATAAAGACTGAAGAATTTTGGTTATTTCTCTTGTCTGGGTTTTTATTCATCTGAATTAAATGGTTTCCAACTGTATGTAATGTTGGATACTGTGCTGATTTTTAGATGTACATGGATAAACAAAACTGGTTCCTTTCCTTAGAGGTGGTCCCAGTCTGGTAGCAATGACATATGTGTAGACAAAGAACCATAAGTGCTACAGTAGTATAGAATAGAGCTGAGACTCGGGTAATATGAGTGAGCACTCACCTTGGGCACAAAAATAAATTTGAAACCAGACAAAAGGTTCCTGCTGCCCGCCGCTGCCCATCAAATAAGTAGAGACAAGGTTGAATCTTTGCGGCGCGTTTACTAATCAGATAGCCAGCAATCTGAGAGAGTAGCAGGTGTACAGCCTGAAAAGACCACTCTGACATTTCATCTCAAGTCAGCCCTTATAAATGGGTAGTTGGAGGGAAAATTTCTGAAGTTAGTTCCCAGGGTCTGCCCTCTTTCATTTTCCTTGCAAAGACTTGCCCTGGAAAAGATTAGCCTGGAACACTGTCTCCCTTCAGATAGGTCCTGTCCTTGATCAGGATTTTCTTTTGAGTGACAGGCTCATCTGGGCTTCGTGGCTGCCTTATCTCCAGGGCCTGTTCTGCTTGCAATACACCCTCCAGTTTCCCAAGGGTCTGTAAGAAAATCTCTTCGTACTGAGTAGCTATTAAACAACTATGATTCTATTTCTATTACGTGCCCCTCCCCTATCAATATGAGGGTGCCACAAACCCCAATAAGCAGATAAACAATATTTTGAAAGAATATTTAGCCCTGGCTGATGTGGCTCAGTTGGTTGAGCATTGTCCCATGCACCAAAATGTCACCAGCTCATTCCTGTTCAGGGCACATGCCCTGGTTGTGGGCTCGATTCCCAGTAGGGGCCGTGCAGGAGACAGCCTATTGATGTTTCTCTCTTTCTCCCTTTCCTTTCCTCTCTCTCTAAAAAAATCAATAAAAACATATTTTAAAAAATAATATTTAAAAAAAATCAAAATTCATGGGTGAATCAAATACCTAAATTTTATATAGAAATGAGATCAGTATTAATGATATTTTCTTTTGCAACGGACTCTAATATTAATTGGCATGGCACTGATACACAGGATAGAAAAAAGATACATGCAATTTTATAACTTAATTGATAGGGATGGCAGGGAAGCTTTCACAGAGATATTACTGATATTTATAGAATAATTTGGGATCCTAGCCCCTCTGTGTACTCCTACAAATAGACAAACAACAAATGCACCATTTTAGCACCACCTGAAGCATGAAAAGAGATGTATAGATTTGGAACTTAGAGGGGAACTTTTACTATAAATAGTTCAGGGTAATGGGGGGTGGGGTGGGGAAGTGAATGCAGGGAAGTGATAGTTGATGTTGGAAGGACCTGTAGGGCTGGATTAGAGATAGTTTTGTGTAAATTACTAAAATGTTTGGATTTGATTTCAGTTTAATGGCAATCTATTGAAATTCTTGCTGGATAATAAGATGACAATGAATATGCTATGCTTCAGTTTTAGAGAAATCACCTGGTTGCTGTATGAACTATGGAATGGTGGGCCATGAAGAGGTATTGCAAGAGTTGAGATGTCTCATTTTTCTTTTCTCTCTCAATTATTATTTGCCTTCCATTTGTTTTATTTAAAACATCAATGACTTCATTGTTATTTGTAAAAATGATAAATGATTGTTAAAAAT